GTACATAAGTGACAATATAGTCAAAGACAAGAAAACTGCACAAGAAATTTGCCTTATTTACACGTATCGGCAATGCAAGCTGCCATGCGACTTCCCCTTCTGACGTCACAAGGGGAATTTCTGTATGCAAATGGGAAGCTAATGAGGAGCCTCGTTTTAAAATACACAAAAATAAAGTTGAGTTTAAAACACATTTTTTCACTTAAAAAAATAATTCATGCTTAGAAACATAAAAATTAATAATATTTATGTATCAATTGATAATTTTAGGCGTGAAAATAGCAGCCATTTCACAGGCACTTTAATTTTATCAGCATACAATTTTGTGAGTCATGAAAAAAGAAATCATGCAGGAGTAAAAATTTACCTCGTTTTATTTCATGCAGGAAATTTCAGTGAATTGCATTAAATAAAATGCACTGTATGCATGGGTGCATTTTCTTTTCAATTTTCTCTGTTCAAAACATAAATAAAAACATTGCTCACGGTCGTAACTGTGGTAAATTATCCTTCCCGAAAAACTTTTATCCAAACATGACACAGTTTTGACAATTGTTTTGAGTAATCTAGCTGGACTGTAAATACGCAACCGGCGGTTTGCAGATGTTCACAAATTGACCATATGAATATCAACATACAATTTTTGTGAGAGCCTCCCCTCATACGCAGGTCTGATGACACATTTCTATACTATTCATATGCCATCAAAACATAGAAATGTCTGGCAGTGAGAATATATTTAATTTGCATTATAATTATACCTTTTTGAACGATGTACTTTTCAGAGTGATAGGCCGACCGTGATTGAATACGATGAACACGAATACATTTTTGAAGGTTTCTCCATGTTCTCACACTACCCATTAGAAAACTTCCCAGAATGCAATGTGATAAGGTTCAATATCGAGTACACTATTCTGTTCCTCAAAGAACCGATGCCCGAGGTGAGTATGTTACCTTGATATGATACTCGTCGCGTTATAACATACCGATGCTGTGATACATGTGTGTGCGGAGATTGAAGCGTACACATACATGTACCATACTACTATCATTTATACTTTTAGGTTATTCTCGTAATATCCTTTACATCTTTTTCCGCTTGTAGTTAGAGATAACCAGAAATGTCAGCGAAAATCAGTTGAAGAGGTTTGTGTCTGCACGTCTGTTTGTGTTCAGAGATGTAGATATTTAAAGGACGGTGGTCGTCGCACTGCGTTCTGTTCGATATGGGACTCATAGCGACGTAGACAGCGCATGTAACATACATTGTTTGTTAATGTGAAATTAGAAGACGCGCTGCACGACGACCATCGCCCTTTAATTATAATGTATGTTACCTTTAATAAGGAGAGAAATGTGCAACACTTTTATCCATACAGGTTCTTATGACCAGCTAATTTCTATTGTTCTCACGTCCATGTTTCTCAGGAATGCTGTTATTCATACGATACATGACTTTTCTACACCATATCTATTTTAGTTTATTAATGGTTATTTCTAATTTATAACTGGCAGTACTGATACGCTATGTTTGTTGTTTCTAATTTATAACTGGCAGTACTGATACGCTATGTTTGTTGTTTCTAATTTATAACTGGCAGTACTGATACGCTATGTTTGTTGTTTCTAGAATTTTTGTGTTGCTGGCCTTGACAGTTTCTGTGATTTCCTCTTTGAAGATATTCTTGAACTGTTGGACTTTGACTTGAAAGGTATGTAGTACATGTACACCCCCCCTCTTTCCTGACTACGGCTCGTGCACAGAAAAATGCTTGAATTTTCACTAAAATAATAGAAGTTATTCATAATGTATTTGAGTATTTTAAAAGAGTTTTGTTTGGTGTTGTATCTCTATTGTTTATAAACTAAAATCATTGCTTTAGGCGTTGTTCAACCTTTTCACTACTAGTTCCTTCTATTCACTATGTTCAATTACCCACCATAGACTCCGGTCAGTCAAAATGACTATTTTGAACTGTAGGCATTAATCAGCTATTCTGCCAATGACGGAGAGATAGAATCTAGGTCAGGGTAAGCCCCGTGACCCCAAGATTCGTTTCCCTTACGTCACGAACCACGTGACAGAGCCCATATGGCGGCGCCATCAGGGCTGGATATCCACTCTTTCTTTATCTCCACATCGATTGCTTTTTTTCCTGTCCGGGTTTTTAGCTTGGGTTGTTGCCGCTGCACGGCATCCGACATTGTAGCTGGTAGAATATGTTTTCCTTGTCATTTTTACGCTCATGTTGTTTTCCCCTTTGTGTGCAGGCGACGTAGCTTAATCACTTGTTGGTTTCGTTAAGTTCCTACTGTAATTCACTTCCCTCATGCATGTCGTCTTCATTTTATGCTTGATCTATGTATTTAGAAATGAATTGATGTAATGACAGCACCAGGGCTCGCTGTCGTTTTTTTTTGATCTCCTCGTGTTTCGAGTCGACTGTGCAGTGATTATATTCAGAAATTACCAGCATAGAACCCGCATCCAAAATACTTTTGTCGTAGCTGCGTGCGGGGTTCAGGGTTTTTGCCGTGAAGGCGCATGTTTTTCACTGGAGTTCTGAGGCCTGAAATTTTTCTGTCAGAGCCATCAAAAGGTCGCGCGTCCACTAAACAAATCGGTTAAAGTGAGTTGCGTGTTTTTGGCATGAGTGGAAAGTCCTCACGCTCGGCTACCGGTTCTTTGTGTACCGGGACGTCGAGTAGGAGGCCCGATGGTGGAGGTACCGATATTTTTTCTCGGTCTCCCCCCCACTGATTGGAGGGCATCCTCACAGTCTGTTTTTTCAGGCGGTGGTTTACTCGATTTTACTGGCTGCAGCGAGGCTGTGCCCCTGGAGGCTTTCCTTCTATGGGGCCTGTTGCGGGTCCCTTTGTGGACCCTTCCTCGCCGGGTTTGCCTCTGAGTTGAGGGCTTTGGTCGAAGGACTGTCGGGGCAATTGCGTCCCTGGCAGGCCGGGTAGATCAGACGCAGTCGGAGCAGGCTGTCTCCACTGCGGCCCCTCGGTGGGCAAGCAGGAAGAAACACAAAAGCATGTTTGCATTCAAACACGTCTCTTCCGGGGAACCCCCGTTCCCAGCCGCGGCTCTCCCACTAATTTGGGTGAGGCCGAGGCTCAGGCTAATTGCACCGGGCCTCCTCTGGAGCCTCGGGCACTGAATGCCAACAGGGTACTGGCATCCCTTCATCCTCGTCGATGCGGAGAGAAAGGAACCAGAGTGGATATCCAGCCCTGATGGCGCTGCCATATGGGCTCGGTCACGTGGTTTGTGACGTAAGGGGAACGAATCTTGGGGTCACAGGGCTTCCCCTGACCTAGATTCTATCTCTCCGTCATTGGCAGAATCGCTGATTAATGCCTACAGTTCAAAATAGTCATTTTGACTGACCGGAGTCTATGGTGGGTATGAACTATGTGAATAGGCGGGTTCGGAGAACCCTCTGCCTAATTTCACAGCAAATTTTCAAAATAGTGCCACTTATAGTCTGCATCTTTCCTTAGATGATTGGGACAAAAATAGACACATTTTTGAGTAAAAACTGAAAATTTTGTCTGTTAGCTCTATAATTAGAGGTTACCTATTTCCAAAAACACAGAGAAAAAAAAGTGCAGACAAGTTTGGGCAAGGAAGTCTGGTGTTGAAAAGATTAATGCACACTCCTGATTTACATATTCATAAAGTAATTAAACCTGTCCAAAGTATATGTAAATGTGCTTTCAATCTTACAAATTGAATGCGAAATAACAACATCTCACTTTTTCTAAATTTGTTCTCAGATGAGAATGGATGTCGCCGATTCCATTTCATGCCAAGATTTGTACGTAGTCTGCCAGATAACGGTAAAGAAGTATTGTCCATGCACCAAGTCCTGCTGTACTTACTGAGGAGTAACCGCTCTTTGGTGGAAGACAGTGACCTGGCTGGTATGCTGCAGATGGAGGAACTAGAATGGGAGAAAATAGCTGACGAGACAAAGAACATGATTGTCACATGTCCTGGAAAGGTTAGTCACATGATCAAGTCATATGATTGTCACATGTTCAATGCTGAAGTCCAGACAGTGTAATAATCAGCAACGCTAGAAGATGAAGTAAACTTCCACTTAATAAATATGCATCATTTTTCCTTACTTTTTTCAAAACTTTTTCAAATTCAAAAAATATAGGTGAGACAACATCAAATTAAATTCTGTTTAAATTCTGGCTTTGACTTAACGGAGAAGTACAGTGACAAATTTTTTTCTTTTTTTTTGTCATCCTTATACTAGCATTTTTTACAGTATTTTAACAGAAACCTGAAAAAAAAGTTGTGAACATTCCTTTTGAACTATGCGTGCCCTATGACCAGAATCAAATCAATGATTTTTATGGCCTAAAAAAAAATCTCATACACATTTATAAACTTTAATACTAAAAAAATAATAATTATGCATCAGACTTGATCATTGTGCCAAGCTTTTTGTGATGTTAAAGTACCATAGTTATTGTGCAAGGGTGTGTGTGTTAACATTGTGTGTAAACAACTGTACTGTAAACTGGTTGTAGTTTGCGAAAATCGCATAATTTTGTAGCATGAAATTGTCATTTAGATCCTGAAGACATAACTTTTTGTTAAAATTTAGTTTTCATTAAGTCATCAAAACACAATAATTCCTGTCAGCGAGAATTAAACAATTTACATTTTGCAAACATTGTATATGTCACATTGGACCTATACTGAACACTGTGGTTCTTTAGCCTTTTCACCACCAGTTCTCTCTTTTCATCACAAATTCACAAAATAGTTCCGTTTATACACTGTAGTCTGTACTTTTCTTCAGAAGATTGGTACAAAGTTGGCCAAATCTTTTGGGTAAAAACTGGAAATTGACACAAATTTTGTCTTGGTTCCAAAATTAGGGTTTATTTCCAGAAATAATAAAGAATATAAGAGAAAAGTGCCGACAAATTTGAACGAGAATGTCTGGTGGTAAAAAGGTTAAGATTTGATTTATGACTGACGAACTGCACTATGATGTATGAATGAACATGTATGTAATGCATGCATTGTGGGTAAAAAACTACCGGTGAGCAGGAATATAATACACATATGCAGACAGTGTCTTAGGTAGCTATAAAAAATATATAATTTTCACCTTTCAGAAGCCACCAGCACTGCGAATCGACCAACTAGATAGAGAACAAGACAGTAGCGTTTTCATCAAGTACCCAATTATAGTACATTTCGGTACCCGTCCTGCTCAGCTTAGTTACGCCGGTGATCCAGGGTAAGTACATATTGATAATTGTCAAGGCTAACTACAATATGGCAACTTTAGGGCCCTTGTTGAAATGTCATATACGTTGCAGTCTTGAGAGGTTTTCTGACAGCTTAGCTTGTCAATGATGATTTTATGTGTTGTTTCCAGCAATAGTATGCGTTGTTCATCGTAATTTTCTACAGTTCCCATCACGTTGCCAATTTCAAAGAAATGGCGACTACTTGCCCCTTAGTTTTCGCATCACATTTTATGTGGCAGTAGCCTTGTGTGAGGTTACTTTGCTTATGCAATTGTGTCTAAACCAATATTTCGCTAATATTTAATTATCTACATGTGGTTATATTTAATATGCTCATAGCTGTTAATAATACTAAATAAATAAACGATAATTACAACTCAAAAATAAAAAAAAACGTTCTTGAATAATAGTTATATAAAACAAACTACCAGTCTGACATTAACCTACTGACCTTGATGACATCATCTATGCCCAAATAAGGTACCAGAAGCTGTTCAAAGCATACCTGAAGATGAGACACTTGCTGGCCAACAGACCCAAGGTGTCATACGAGGACCGTCAGAAACTCAACGAGAAAGAAGAACAACTTCAGAAGATGAGGTCGCGTGCTTGTATGAAGCGAGAAGTGACGATAGAGTTGAGTAGCGAAGGAACATTACGAACTGGAATCAGATCAGATATATGTCAGGTATGGATTAGGATTATCCATTTCAGTAAAATTTATCTAAAATATAAACATGATTATTGTCATTTAAGATTATCCAAATGTGGTTTAGGGGTTGTACCAGTTATTCTCTCAACAGTACAGTGTGTGTACTCCTTAGCGTACATGGTACGTACAAATGCATGGTATCAATTTTTGGGGAGACTAATTGGAAGCTACATGTAGTGAGAAACACCATTATGGTTAAACTAAGTTATATTATAGTGATTCAGTATACAATAAATATATTTATTGTTTTATGTGAACTTCTGTTAGAGATGTACTTCTAAGATGAAATGAAAAAACTTTGTCATTTTCAAGAATATTCAGACTTTCTTCTTGAAAGTTAGACTTGCTTGCAGTCTGTTGCGATTCCGATGCAAAATTCTTGAAAAATGAATATAAATTGCGTAAACGAGGGGTGAACGCGAAAGTCATGTGACCGCGAAATCCCAACAGATTTGCCATCAGTGTAAGCGCCCTCATACTACCGGCCAGATTGGGGCTTGTAATGACTGATATGTCTAATATGTTCAACCAATCAGAAGACAGGCTAATTAACATATCAACTGCGACCCCGGGAACCATACACACTTTCTTGGATGAACTTAGATCCTGAAAACTTGCGTTCTCGAATAATTGATGGTTGTTTAACTCAATTTTGTTGGCGTCAAAAATATGATAACATAGCGTGAGACAAGTAAACACAGGCATGTGCGATGTCAGATTTATTGTTACAATCTGTGGCTCGGCTGCTCCACCCACCGTATGACATATATGCAAATTTACAAGCCCGAATCTGGCCGGTAATGTGAGGGCGCTTACACTGATGGAAAGTCTACTTGAAAGTCTATAAGAAAATATCATTTAATTTTGAATTGAATTGATCCTCAATCTATTCTTGAGCTACATTGTATACCACAGAACTTTCTATATTACTTGGACGTGCACCACTGTACTATATATTTCAATGGGCTCTCTGCATGAGCTGCTGTGGACTGCTGGTTAAAGCAGCTAGACTTGGGGAAACATGCAACTCAATTTTAGAAGTAGTCTTATTACTATTTTCAGGAGAGTCTCAATAACTTGTCCAAAGTACATTTTTTTTTTTAAGAGTTTCCAGCTTTTGTTTGCTCCGGTGATGGTTGTTAGGCGATGAAAATATCCAGATGTTCACCCCAAGATTTGAGATTAATGTATTTGTTTACTTATCTTTCCTCTTTGCAGCATGCAATGATGTTACCGGTATTAGTGCACCATCTCAGGTACTTTGCATGTTTACACATTCTGGAGAAGCGACTGGGATATACTTTTACAGATAGACCTTTGCTTAAGGTGAGTCAATATAATAATTTGTTGTATCCTGTAGTGTATATAGTTCACATTATGTACAATGATAGTAGTGGAAATTGTGTTCATTCTCTATGTGTGTGAATTTAAATCTATAAACAACCGAACAACTTTAAATGTGCATATAACTAGTCTTAAGAGTATACACATTTTGGAATGGAATTGTCCGTGCGTGTTACCATTCCAAGTAACAAGACAGTGTTGGTTAATAAAAATTAAATATCTGAAGTTTGGATAATATAGTTGTCGATAGCGATGATTATGCGAGTTTATACTGTAAACTGAGTTTACTGAGTTTTAAATTCGCACACAAACTTGACAGGGAAATAATGAGTTCAACTATTCTCTATTTATGTGGATTTAATTTTAGCAAATTTCACTTATCAACAAAATTAAAATTCGGCAAATAATTAATGCATATACAATGCATTTATGGATTTAAATTCACACACATAGAGAATGTTGCAGAATAAAAGTAGTTATCTCTGGTTTCTCTGATTGGTGTGCCACACCCACTATTGTAGTACCGCACATACTATTGGTGTGCCACACACACTATTGTAGTACCGCACATACTATTAGTCTGCCATGCCTCTATTGGAGTACCACATTCACTGCACTTAATTTTGTATAATTTATTGTTACAACTTTTTTTGAAGCTTGCAATGACTCATCCATCACATCATTTGAACTTTGGAATGAATCCCGATCACGTCAGAATTGCCATGTCAAACTGCGGAATTCGACAACCAGAATACGGAGATAGAAAGATACGACATGAACATACTAGAAAGAAAGGTATAACTGCCATACGAACAATTGTTGTGAACTCCTAATTATATCGCATGAGTGTTATCAGTTGATAGAGCCTTCTTGGTAGTTATATCCTTCAGTAAAATTTGGAAGATCGTCACTGCTTTGTATGAGACACTTTGGTTGTGAGAAAAATATTATGGGTAGAATATTTGTTATATTGGGAATTAGATGAAAATATTAATGCAAAACTAGTTTAAATGGTGTGAACAGATTAAATTTTTTGTCCTTGCCCTTTCTTGATTTAGATGTCAGGAACTCATTACTATGATTCACTTACAATTTACCTTGGACTTGAACTTAGAGAGGTTTCCTCCCAGATGTTTTCAGATTGTTGTCTCTGAAGTGGTTCTCAAAGCCAATTCTGATTACAATGTTAACTTTTTTCATAGGTATCAATACTTTGATTAATATAATGTCCAGGATGGCAAGTGTTAGTGAAATAAAATCTCGAATTCATCACAACGAAAGACTGGAGTTTCTTGGAGATGCAATCTTAGAGTTTGTAACAAGGTAATAGTAAAATGCATACCATATTTGCTTTATTAAGTAGTGCAAGTGCTTACCGGTATTTGTAAGTGACAGAGGTGTGTCTCTTGTCAAAGTATATTATATTTTAATAATCGCATTTACAATAAATGTATTTTTGGTTTACGTGTGCTCCTAATACAGAAAATGCAGTATTACTTGATAAAATTGAAGACATATGCCACTTCATATTAAAGCCTTGTTATGGAAAAATGTTATTATAAAAAGTGTCAATACATCGAATACGATAGTGAAAGTCAAAGCTTTTAACCTTCTTCATTAAGTTGAGTTGAACATATCTTACAACCAATGAAAATGATTATTTTTTAAGCATGTGCCAATAAATAAGATGCCTCCTTAATTGTGTTGTTTTTTCAATCTCTTCACCATCAACAGTTCACACCTGTACTTTCTGTTTCCACACCTGGAGGAGGGAGGGTTAGCCACATACAGAATGGCATTGGTACAGAATCAGCATTTGGCTGTTCTAGCAAAGGTCAGTACTGCTTATAACCTGCTTTCCATGATGTCTTCTGTATCAGTGGTGGATCCAGGATTTGACACTGAATACTTCCAAATTATTTGTGGTGCTTTTTCAAAGTCTGGATAATCCTTACCTATTCTGCTACTTTCTTATGAATCTGATTACAGCATGAGTATAAGTGGAGTAGTGGACATATGCTTTGATCTGCCACTGTATATACAACAATATTTACTGCATATGTTTCATCCCAACACCTGCAGTATTGTTATCGCCACTTACATATTGGTGTTTTGTGATGATTCTTTGAACTACTGACAATAAGGAACTATAAAATTGAAATCCATGCACACATTTGTTGTTGTTGTTGTTGTATAGTTACGGTATGGTCAGTAGATACATATTGTTGTATAATCACATACTATGCGGTTCTTGTGCATACCATGTCTCATACGTGTAGATGCTCTAATAGAAGCCGCATCTCTTCTGTTGCATTGTACCATTTTAATAGAAGCCGCGGCTTTTAATACAGATTTTACAGTGCTCTGTCATTTGCTATCACCAAAGCAATAAAAACAATACAGGTAATTAACATATTTTTTTCTTACGTAAAGCAACCACAAAACTATTATTATATATTCACAAAATTTTGGAATTTTTTTTTTCTCTCATAGAAACTTGATCTTGATCATTATATGTTGTATGCCCATGGTCCCGATCTCTGTCATAATGCTGACTTACGACACGCCATGGCCAACTGTTTTGAGGCATTGATGGGGGCGCTGTACCTAGAAGCTGGTCTTGACAGAGTGAAGGAGGTCTTCTGTAATTTGTTGTTTGATAGTGATGATTTGAGAGCAATCTGGATGAATCATCCTATGCATCCACTTCAGGTAGAGTGACCGATATAATAGTACAATATCTGTGAAGTAGAATGGTATAAATTTTTCTTGTCAAATTATTAGTGAAAAATCCTTCATTTTATTTATTTTTTTGTTTACTTTAAACAAATGAACATACCTGTAGTTTTATTTTTGGAAAAAAACCTTGAGCAGGTTTTTTTATGAAAGGTGACTTGCATGTATATGAAGTCATCGCAAGTATAGTTTTTTATATTTAATTGAAGTGCTATAGTTGTTGTACTGCGCGTAAATAAATTTTATGAACAATTATATTTTTCAATGGTTGGATATGTTGCTATGGTTCCCAAATCAGGCATGCACAATGCAACGACTGTAATCAATTCAGACAAATCAGAGGGGAGTTCATACTTTTCAGAATACCCAGGTATTTTTGTGAAAACTTGACACTATCATTAATTCTTTCTTGTTGAAAGTTTCTTTTGAAGTGCATGTAAATGCAAAGTTTTTTTGGAGGGAAAAGTGGTCATGCAAGTTTTTATTATTTTTCCTTATTTTTATTCAAATTTGTAACAAATTAATTATTTTGTGTATTTTTCTTAGCAACAAGAACCAGATGGTGATCGACATCTTATAGAATCTTCACCAGTTTTAAAGGTATTTATCAGACTTCTTCTAAATGTAAACACAAAATTTGCATAAATTCACACAATGCAATGCATTAGTTAACAAATAAGAGATTTTTAATTTTGTGGAATTTTGTGTTGAACAAGATTTCTAGTAACTGACAAGCGACAGAAGTTTTTTAAACAAAATTACAAAAACAAATCTTAATTTGTAATGTTATGCTGCTTTTCAGAAACTCGTAGAATTTGAAGAAATCACTGGAATTGTATTCAACCATATCAGATTACTTGCCAGGTCATTTACACAGAGAACTGTAGGGTTTACAAACCTTACATTGTAAGTAACTTTTATTACTATAAGTATTACTTCTATTACTGTAAGTAACTTGTATTACTATACAGATCTACTACTGTGACCTTGATGTTTCAGACTATGATAATTAAGTGTATCCAATAACTATGCAAATTAGGATGCAAAGTCCAATAATTATGCAGATTTAGAACATTGTTGGATTTCATTTGACCTCATGAACACCTCAATAAGACCCTGTTGACTTTCATTCAAAAATTTATTTTCATAGTCAATATCAAATTTGTTGACTGACTCTGTCACATACTGTAAAATAATTTATTTTCACTATTTTCACTGAAGAAATGATTCAGTGAAAATAAAATCCAGTGAATATACCTTTTTTCCTACATTTTGCATTCAACTCGTCAAAAATCAGTGAATATAAATTCCATCCAAAACACCCAAAAAGTCTTTTCAGCGAAAATTAATTTCACAGTTACTACATTTGAATGAAAAAATATTGGTTGTGCTTATCAATGAGTTCTAGTTCAAAGTATCTGTATTCCAGTTGCAGCTGACCCAAAATGGTGCATATTAGGTACAAAATAAGGAGTTTATTCACTTTGCAGGGGGTATTAGCACATTAACATATGTACGTGTTGAATTTATATCCTATGTAAATTTATGCTTATTAATCTTTCTATGGTTACCTGGGTAACCACTTAGTGTCCAACAATAGAAAACACAAAATATTACCTTTATTTGATGACTTCTGCACTTCATATCACCTGAATTTAAATCAAAAATATGAATATTTTAATACAATCAATAGTAAGTTGTTTTTTCTATTTGTTTGTAGGGGTCACAATCAACGTTTAGAATTTCTCGGCGATTCCGCCATGCAGCTTGTCGCATCAGAATATTTATTTAAACACTTTCCAGATCACCATGAAGGACATCTCTCTGTAAGTGGTTTAACGATAATTACTATCATTATTTTAATTAATCATTACGATTGATTTACTCTTAAATTTTATGATCAGGGAATCGGTTAGTTAGATGCTAGTTTTTTTCCTTTTTATTGTCTCCATGACTAAACCTCCAATAGTAATCATAACATTTCTTTTACATCAGTACAACTCTATAGACCCGTTCACTTCAACTGTAAAATTCATGGGAACATTCTCACCTGTTCTTTGTATTTTGAAATTTACAATATTTATCAGTAAATTGTGTCCCGTAATGGTAGCCATTGTGTGTAGAAAATCAATATTTTGATCAAAGTTGTGGAGAGGCTCAGATCAAAGATTTATAAGATGAGGGTTTACAATTTTATTACTGTAGAATACTTTATTTTCGCTTGGAATTTATTTTCGCTATTTTCGCTGAAGGGATGATTCCGTGAAAATAAAATCCAGCGAATATACTTTTTTTCCTATATTTCACATTAAACTCATCAAAAATCAGTGAAAATAAGTTCCACACAAAACGCCCAAAAAGCCTTTTCAGCGAAAATTAATTCCAGCGAAAATAAAGTATTCCACAGTATACTCAACGAAGATCTCACCAGAATTAAACTTTTGCTTGCAAGTTGCAAGATCAAAAATTGTGACAAATATATATTTCTAGTAATACCGTACATGTACATGTAGTGTAAATGAGTGACTATGTTAAAGAACTGATTAGTGTTCATCTTGGGCTGAGCGAGTATTACATAGTATCATAATACTATATACAGCGATAATTTCCCTCATTTCTGTATACGTAATTCAAAGCGTTCGATGCATGCTGTGTTGCCTTGGTTTGAAATGTATTTGATTGATGCTCACAGATAGAGAGAATCTTTATAGAACAATTCATATCTAAGTTTCCTACTCTATCTTATAAATCCTTGCTGAAAGTATGGTATATTTGAGAAACATTAATTTTACAAAGGATTGAACCCAGCCAGCACTCTCCTTCTCTTTTACTTTAATTATCGTTTTTTTCGAAATGATGAATTTATTCTACAGCTGTTGAGGAGTTCCTTGGTAAATAACCGTACTCAGTCGTATGTTGCTCAAGAACTCGGCATGGAGGAATATATCATAAAACTAAACAGGAACAGAGAAAAGGAAAAGCCTGCATTGAGAGTAAAAGTACTTGCTGATTTACTAGAAGGTAGGGCATGAATAGATTTTAGATTCACCTCGTTTCAAACTTTTCTGGGCTGCAGTCTTTTTACCTTTTGAGTGTTATGTTTTTTTCACCAAACTGTTGGTGCATCATTTGTCATTTTTTTATGAATTATTTTTTATTTCTTTGTTAATTTTGGACCAAATGAACACAATTCTGTTGGGTGCAGGTTTTGCTCTAAAACAACAAAATGTGGACAAAAATTATTTGTTCATTTTGTAAATGGTGACAGGGTTGACTTTGATGTGAAAAGGGTTAATGATATGCAAATTACCTAATTAATATGCACAGACGGTATATAGAACTATTTTGTGAATGGTGACAGGGTTGACTTTGATGTGAAAAGGGTTAATGATATGCAAATTACCTAATTAATATGCACAGACTGTATATAGAACTACTTTGTGAATGGTGACAGGGTTGACTTTGATGTGAAAAGGGTTAATGATATGCAAATTACCTAATTAATATGCACAGACGATATGTAGAACTATTTTGTGAATGGTGACAGGGTTGACTTTGATGTGAAAAGGGTTAATGATATGCAAATTACCTAATTAATATGCA